ATTTTCAGCTTATGCACTGGAAGGACCTGCCAGCTTTAGGCTCAGTGACAATCTCCTGCCTCAAAGTGTCACAAATAGAACTCACGGCATGTGTGCACCCTGTTTTCAGTAAGGAGGAACAGGACAAAACCAGGCTAAAAAAAAAATCTCAATTTCCGGTAAAAACTTAAAAATTTTTAGGTTTCCTTTGCTTTTATTGTTTTGTTTTCACAAGAAACACGGTCCATTTGGCTAAGATCACTCTTTATTTTAAGCAGTTGTCTGCAGCAGCAGGTGCTAGAGGAGTCCCCAGCCACACGAATGACTGGGTGGGGGAGTGGGTGGAGGTGGCATGGCTTGGCTTTGATCAATGAAGTGGAAAATTACCTCCTTCACCTCTGGGGTGGTTGGTGCAGGAAGAGAGCCCGGGAGAGGACTCTGAGGCTCAGGACTCTGAGGCTCGTAAAGGGAAGAGGCTGTAATGCATCACTCTTCCAGCTTCTGATTCTATTAGGCGGCCATGATACCAACACAACAGAGGAAGTGGGATTTAAGAGAGGCGGAAGAGAACAGCGAAGATTTTCCTGGCTGATCTATATGTTCAAATATAAAGCCTTCCCACTGGTTAAGCCTGGTTAGAAATAAGTTCTCCTTCAAGCAAGCAAGACAAGGGGGGAAATCATGCTGGAGGCTGAGAGAGAAGCCAAGGGCTTTGGAGGTCGGGCCTGAATCCTCACTGCTGGCTCAAAACACTGGGTGTCCTCACCAAGGCATTGTGCATTCAGGGCTAATCATGATGAACCATTTTTATTAAGTCTTTTTTATAAGACTAATATCTGGTTTATAGCAAGCTTATAAATCAAAGGTGAAGGAATAGTGTCAAAAGGACTCAAACTTAGAGTTCTCAATCTTTTCGGGATCCCAATATTGTGCCTGATATTAGAAGCAGTTTTGGGAGACTCCTAGAACCCGCCCTAACCCAGGTGGTTCCTAGAATCCCCTACAAGGTCTATGAACCCCCACTTTAAGAACCCTGCCCTGGTCATTTGTTTCTTGTAGGGAACTATCCTAGCAGGCTTTTCTCATTGTTTACATGCTATAACCAATTGTTTGAGTTTGTTTCTGTTTTTACATAAAAGAGGACATCAGCCCTCTGGTTTAAAATCTTTCACTCAGACTCCAGGTACTCAACAGAAGTATAACCAAATTGCTGATTCATTTCTCACGAGGAAAATAAAAGACAAACATTCCAAGATGTAAACCTATAGTCAAAACTGCCTGCCAAATTCAATCTAACAAGGAAAAAACATCTAGCAGTTTGTAACACAAATAAGTGCTCCAGCACAGTCCCTGTGCTGCAACAACAATGTAAACAGATAAACCACCATGTGTCACCTCACAAGCTCCGAGTGCAGCTCTGGGGAAGTCAGGTAACCAGGGGTGCCAGCCTGGCTAGCTGGCGGCCCTTCGCTGCCCTCTGCTGGCACACGGAGGGCCTTGCTGGCAGCGTGGTGGAAGTCAGCCACCTCAGTCAGGCGTCTCTTCATTTCTTTCAACAAATTAACATGAGCAGGGCTTTGGAAAAACCTTCTCCCGATACAACCATCTATAGGTAACCTTAAAAAAACATAAGCACAGATCATAACAAGATCAACACAAGATAGTCTTTCTATATGACACAAAACTGCAATTAAGTCAATTTCCTATAGTTGTACATATGCCCCGTTATATATATTACTGTATTTCTGTCTCAGTGGTTACTGTGAGGCTCCAATAAGATGGACATGAAAGGAGTTTTTAAAAAAATGAAATGCTATGAAAATTCAAGATATTATCACCATTTAGAGGTACAAAATAAAGATAGTCTCTGCTCTTGAACAACTTGCATCTGGTAGAAAACAGACGTGACAAAGAATTAACGAATTAATATCTATGTGTTGAGGGAGTGGGTTAAGGGAGTGAGGGTGAGCTAGGAATTGAGCTGGAGCTAGAGATCAATAGTCAGTAACAATGACCAGTTCCAGTTCAGAGACCCTCCAGACCCAGAGGAAATGTGGGACGCCCCCTGGCACAGCCCAAGGGCTCCCAGGCACAGCCTAGCCCTGATCCACATCTGCTCGATCCATCACAAGTCCTGTCGAATGAGTCCCATGATGGTCACACAAGCAGCCTGTCTAGGGCAGTTTCTCTCCCTTTGCATCTCCAGAGGTTCTATGCTAAGCCTTGCTGTGTCCAGGGTGTTGTGCTTATGATGCTGTGTATGGTGGATGGTAAAGAGCGTATCACCACGAGATTCCCTGAACTCAAAAAAGTTCTAGTCTAAGAAACATGAAACAAGGAGGGAGGGAGACTCCCAGCTAGAGAATGATTCTAACACAAACAGCGCGAGGGCAGCAGAGCAGTGAGAAGGCAGGAGCGAATTGGGGAACTTACGACACTGGGTACCATACCCGTACTGTGGTCCCGGCCGGTGAAGATACAGGAGAAAGAACTTCTGCCAAATGAGCGGCAGAAGAGGGTGATCAGAAGGCGTGACGAGAGCCTGGTGGGCCCAACGATAAATCAGCAGCCTCTGGAGAGACGGGACAATGGGGAGCTTCAGCTGGGCCTGGGCTTTCTACAAAAGGGGGGAAGGAAGAGGGCTTTGATCAGCCATGAAATGAACACGGTTACAGTTTGCTCTTTCTAAATGATCCAAATAAAATGCTGAGCATTTTTCAATTCAGTAAAAAAAAAAAAAAGTCCAGTGAAACTTACTTCAACCCACTAGCTAACCTTAACCTCCCTGGAAACAAGACATACAGGGTGTAGGTCAACTATAATTTAATATACATCTAGTCACAGGATGTGGAGTACAGTGTGGGGAGTGGAGTCAATGGAATTGTAATAGAGATGTATGATATGGGCGGGGGGAGTTAATTGCTGGAGGGGAGGGTCACTTTGTGAGGGGTGAAAAGTATAACTATTGCATTGTTTTGTACACCTAAAACTAATAATAAAAAGACATATGAGGTGACTTTTCTTCTGTCAAAACATTTCACAGACCCCAGAATTGGAATGGGCCTTAAGTGTCACCTAGTCTAATCTCATTGCCATGCCTTTGCATGTAAAACACTACAATGCAAGAAAGCAGAATGATGATATGGAAGCCAAAAGTAAAGCTTACTGTCAAATTTTATCAATCTTTTGAAAATTTAGATGTTAAAAGAGATTTCAAGAATTATGAACCCCTTGACAGGCTCTGAAACCCAAAGCAAAGTCTATACTATGGGGCCCTAAAAGAGAGGGTCTTTAATTCTAAAGCCTTATTCAAGTCTTTCTTACACTTTACTGAGCCTAAGACTCAGGGATATTTTAAAAATAAATTCCTGGTGCCCCTCTAGACTCAGAAACTCAGAATCTCAGAAGTCAGGGTCCAAGAATCTGATTTTTAACAAGCTCTCCAGGGGGTTCTGATGCACGGGTGACACACTGGAAATTGCTTTAAAACAGTGGCCGTTCACACATGCAATGAACATGGCCTTCAATGATTAGGTTGTGACTCTCGGTGTTAAATGAACTTGGGAAGGAAGCAGATACTTCAGTGACACTATTTTCATCGTTGGTTTGTTACTGTGCTTTCCAAACATTCACAACACAAGAAAACACAGGAGTTCAAAAGCTACAGGTGAACCTCTCAGCATCAAAGCATAAACCACCTTCTCCCACTCAAATGCAGAACTGCTGTTTGCACCTTCAGAGCTTGGTCAGGGGTGAAAGCAGAGTTTATAACCAATTCCCCTTCAACAACTCTTCGGAGCTGAGAGTCTTCTTCAAAGATAGATTCCATGTTCAGAACCGTCCATGCGAACCAGACCTACAATGACAACCAGTAAAGGTGAGGTGAGTGAGCGTCTGTTCACACAGACAAACTACATCCTGACAGTCCACAAACTAACATCTTTTCTACCACAGATCTCAATCAACAAACATTTACAGTTTCTAAAATTAACATAGTCTTCATACCTATCTATAGTCTTATCACAGATATAAATTCAGATAAATAGATAATTGTAAATTCCTTTGGAAAGGCTACTTTAGTTAAAGAGAATGCTTGTTCATGCAACAATATTTAGTGGGTAGTTTCTGCATGCATGAGGGACAGGAAAGAGGGCCAGACACAGCCTGTGCCCTTAAGAAGTTTTCCATGTATTAGAGGAGACAAGACAAATATCAGGGGTGCCAAAAAATTATATACCAGTGGACACCGGTCAATGTTGCTCAAGCAGTAGTTCACCGTAATCATAAGTGTCTGGACACTGATGGTAACCACTATGAGCACCTCTTGTAATTACAGAAGTCAAACGCAACTTCTATTCATCTTTTGTTATCCATATATATTGAGTATTACAATTTTAATATAGTTTTCCTTTCTTAAAACATGTGTAGGGCCGGCCAAGTGGCTCAGTTGGTTAAGTGTTAGCTTAAGAGCACGAGCTCTGAGCAACAGGGTCGCCGGTTCGATTCCCACATGGGCCAGTGAGCTTCACCCGAGTTGTGTCCGAGCTGAACTGCCAACAGGTGGCAGGATGGCTCAGCTGGTGAAAGCACGTGCTCCTAATGACAAGACTGCCTGTTCAATGGTGTGCTACACCCACCCGCCACTGGGACTGAACTCGGCATCTTGAGCTAAGCTGCCGCCCCAATGTCTCAGTGGACAAAGTGTGCGCTCTTAACAGCAAGGCTGCCGGTTCAACTCCACATAAAAAAAAAAAATGTGTATATTTTTTGGGCACCCTCTGTATATAAATAACCAAAATGTGGAGTGACAGGTGGTGACTACTGAATCGGCAGTGAAGTGCTATGGGAAGCCAGAGGGCGGAGGACAGGATCAGAGAAGACAGGTGTTATCTGAGAAGGCTCTACACAGAAACTGGAGGGCACGGCCAGCCTGGCGGGAGAATCAGCTCGGCAGACACAGACGGTGCAGTCACAGCAAGGAGCTGGCTTCAGCTGGATCCCAAGAGGTAAAGGCAGGAGGAGGTAAGACTGTGATCAAAGTTTGAAAGACGCTACTATTGGTTTAAGTGATGAAACAGGGACATAATTCAACACACAGCCTGAGAGGCGGCAACGATGAGAATGACACTGCTGATGATAATGATGACAACCATCACAGCCATGACCCGGGAGCCCCGTCTCTGTGCTAAGCGCTGTTTTAATGCTCTGCATGTCGGTGCCATCATTATTCCCTTTGACAGAAGAGGAAACAGGACAGAGAGGTAAGCAAGCTGCCCAAGGCACAGCGCTAGCAAATGGCAAAACTGAGCGGAATCTGGCCTCAGCGCCCACTCTTAACCACTCATGGGGCTGGACAGACCATGCAGTCCGGCAGCCTGGGTCTGACCACAAGCTGTCTGATCCTGAGCCAGCCACTCGCTCCATTAAACTTCAGTCAGCCTCTCTGTGAAACAGGAATGGCAACAGCGTGACCGCAGCAGAGGGCTGCTGTGAGGGTGAAATGAAAAAGCATTCTTCTCCATACTGAGTGCTAAATAAATGCTAGTTGTTTTAGGCCATTAATAATGTACTGGTAAGGGTGATAACAATATCAAAGTTCACGAAGACACAAATGGTCCTGGGAGGGCTTCCTACCTGAGTGGGAGTGGCCGAGCCCTCCACGAAGGAAGGGGTGATGTTGCCTGCCACGATCCAGCTCACCAAGGAAGACAGCAGACTCCGGTCACAGTGGTAACCCAAAGCATTCTACAGCGGGGACAGGGTGTGGAGCGGAGAGAGGAGGCTTTAAAAAAGGCTTACCAACGACCTTTTCAAGACTATCAGCAATTATCTTACTATACAATAGAAGATTCTGGTAAGACACGGGTTTCAATAATTAGTCAACCAGCAGTGACAGTCCCCGGCATGATATTATAACAAAATGTAAGGAGCAGCTCCCCCTGGGTGGGTGTGGGGGGGACGCAGGGGATATCCTTTCCTTTGGCTTATGGGGATCTGCACGAGCAGACTACGGTTATTGAAATAAGACACCAGTAAGGCATAGCTTTATTAAAAAAGAAAAAGTACTCAGTGGGCCTAGAGTAGTGCTGAGAACATTGCGTTTGGGGGAACCTTTTTAGAAGGCTACTATCTATGTATGATATATCAATGACAGCAAGCTAACTCCTCTAACAGGCTTACCTTATGTTGCTGGTAGAGTAATTTCTGCACACAGTCTTCCTGCATCAGTTGAAAAGCTGTTTTACACAAGTGATCCATGAGGAAGAGGATGGGTTGTTCTCGGTACCAAAGATGTTGGCTTATTAGAGCCTGAACCCAGAACTCCAGTACGGCAACGGGGCCCACTTCATTAGGCTGAGTGCTTACAGATATGTGGGCCTATGGAGAAAGGGCTCAGGTGAGCAGAAAGGTTAAAACGGGCTTCCATTTTGAAAACAATTAACAAAATAATATCTACTGCACTACAGAACCCAAATCTGAGGACTTTCTTGGCCAAAAGCACTGTGCCAAGTGCTCTGAAATGACCAACACATAGATGTGCTGGCACTAGGTGTAGTTGATTGGAAAGGTGGGCGAGGGTGTATTTAGGGGCTTACAAGGGCCCTGACCTGGACCATGCTGTTGAGAAGCTTCACGTTGTCCCCGAGGCTGGCTCCAGTCAGGTGCTGTGCCACCTTGTGGGTGACCTGCTGCGTGACACCCTGAGGGACGCCACTGTCCAAGTGCAGGAACAGGAGAAGGTAGGACAAAAACCTGCCGAACACATAGGACGACACACTTTATCTTCTAATCAAAGTCAACAGAATTTCAAATGGTAAATTACTTATGAGAAAACAGAAAATATTAAAATAATCCCATTTTTAGACCAAAGCTCTTATGCAGGGATTTTATGTAGGGATTCTGATCAATCTTCAGGAATTTCAGAAGAACGAACTTTTTCAATTTAATGTGGGTTCAAAGGAATTCTATCTACCTGGGGAAGTACAGTGAACAGACCCAAGGCACACAAATACATGAAAGGTAGAGAGCATCAGAGAAAAACACCCAAAAGTGTCCAGATATTCCCTCTACATTCCCCACCTATGCGTACAAAAACAGAGATGTTTATACAATATTCCGCAATCTTTTCTTGGATGTCAAATTCACACAAGGTGGCATATGAGGCACGAAGGGGGATATCACACAAGTCATGGCCATGCCCTCAGCTCCCTGGGCACACCAGGCTCCCTCCTCCCAGGGCCTTTGCATCTGTGAGTTTTCTGCCTGAAACACGCCCCAACACCTAACCTGGCAAACTCCTACTCATCCCTCAGATCTCTTCTGCCAGAACTCTTTCTCGGAGAACACTTCCTGACCCCTCTCGCCATCTAAATTACATCTAACCCATTAACCTCTCTCATTAGCACCCCGCTGCTTTCCTTCCCGGTCCTTCAAACTGGTAACTGCATCCTGAGGACATGATGGTGACGCCTGCCAGGCCTGCTTTGCTCACCACTGTACAGATGGTGGCAGCACACAGCGGAAAGCAACAAGCAGTTACTGGTGAATGAAGGCACATCACATGAGACACAATACAGGCCAAACCCCACTCTGATATACAGGAAAATACGACAAGAAGAGGTACCAATAAAGTGCTGTAAAGAGTTCAGAGGAGAGAGCTAGTGAAGGCATTAGAGGGAGGTGGGAGAGACACAGGAGGAAGCATTTGAAATGGAGCCTAGAAAGACTCATTATTACTCAAAATCTAATCATTAGAAAAGATATAGACAAGTCAATCTCATTTTAAAATATCTTTCAAAAGTCATGAAAATCTAAAGTGAACTTACTAAAATCGTGCCAGGCATAGTACTATATATGACTTAATCCTTACAGCCAGCATGGAAGAGGATATTATCTCCCTGCACAAGAGAGGGTTTTATCCCATTACACAAATGAAGAAACGGAGGTTCTGAAAAGTTAAGGAACTCATTTGTGTTCACACATTAGTCAAGTGATGGAGTGGGGACATAACATAAACTCATACCTGAAAAACATGTGCTAACCAAAATACAAGTGTTCCCAGACTTGCCTGGTGCCTAGAGTGCTGATTTAAAACACAAAAAGGGGGCCCTAGGCTCAATCCCCTTCCTACTAAAGTAGAGTCTCTAAGGGAAGAACCGGGGAGGCCATATTGAATAAGCTCCCCCGGGTGATTCTCATCACAAGTTGGAGAGACATGCTTTGAAGTGACACACGACGGGGAAACTGTAACGTTCCCCTTGTGCCCTTGAATGTACCGCCTGCCCCCACCACACAGGGCTCCTCCACGTTGGGCCTTCCCACTCATTACTCCTGGCGAGGCCCCAGACAGATGCACTCCTCCCTGCCCCCTGCACAGGTATTCTCCTCACCTCTAGGCCTTCACTTATGCGCTTCCCCAGCCCGGCCCCGCCTCTCAACTCCCTACTGCCACTGCAAAAGCCTGCCTGGCCCTGTCCTCCCCACTGGCCCAATGCCTACAGGCACCTCAAAGCTCCATTAGAAATCCATCTCTCCCAAAAGTCATGTTCTTGGACCATCTGTGGCTTCTGTTCACAGCATCCTCTCTCCCCCTTCTGCTAACTGTACATCCTTTCCTTAAGGGAACTGTCCTTCCTCCACACCACAGTGTTCCAGGAGGGAAGGGCTTTCAATACAGAATCCTCATACACCGTCTTCTCAGGGCTGGACATTCCCAGGGAGAACAGATGACTACATCAGACCAATCAGGAATCATTATAAGAAACAATGATGAAGAAAAACATTCGCCTTTCCCCTGGGAAACTAGGATGATGCCTAGCTCTCTCGATAGCCATGGACTTTTGCTTCCCTCGAAAGTACACCTGCAGGAGAAGGCCTGAAATAGAGGCAGGGCCAAGGGATCTTGGAGAGAGAATAAATAGAGAGAAAGAGAAACGCTAATCCAGGGTCTGCCAACTTTGGCAATACTGACATTTTGGGCTGGCTAATTCTTCATTGTGGGGCTCCCCGGTGCACTGCAGGATGTTTAGCACTATCCCTGGCTTCTGCCTACTAGACGTCACTAGCAACCTCCTCCAACCCCAGCCCCTAAACCAACAACTTCCTCTCACTGCCAGGGTGTGACAACCAAAATCATCTCCAGACATCACCAAATATTCCTGACGGTCAAAATCACCCCTGGTTGAGAACCACCACTTTAGACTGACTTGATGTTATCATGAGCCTTTTTTTTCCCCAATCACAGGAGCCAGTATATTCCCCTCCTGGTGAAATGAGTGTGCACTAGGTTTTCATCATGTGCAGTTAAGCATCTTGATTAATACTCCATTATCCTTAATTCTCTCCATCCCGAAGCAGCTATTTCTTTTACTATAAATTCCATATACTTTTACCATATAATGTGAATTCAAACATAGCATAGCGTGGCCAATATTTTGCTTCATAATTTTGTAATTACCTCAAAAGTCTTACTCTCCCAACAAGAGTATAAATGCCTCAAGTGATGAACACTTTCCTATACATCTCATCTGTCTGTGACTTGCACTCTGCACAGTGCAGGCCATTTACAGCAATGGCAGAGTATTGTGCCACTCGATGTCAGAAGCACTATTCCCAGGGTTTCATGGAAACTGCTCTTTCAAATACGAATAAGCTATAAGCAATCCAACATTAAATGTAAGAGGAAGAGAAATACCTTCATGATAATAAAACTGGAATCATTATTAGAATCACTGTCATCAACCTGCATTCTAAACTGGGTGGGAAATTTTCTGCCTCATAAAAACTACACTACTGAAATATAATTTCCTATTTTCTTTGAGAAACCAGAAGACATAGTCATGCGTACTCATTGAGCTGTTCTCGACTTACTGCTCATTCTTCAGAAGGTAATACTGGCAAGGGTAGAACAAAGGCAGAATCTTATCCAGGACATGGACCACGGTTCTCAAATGCCTCGACTGGACCAGAATTCCCAACAGTGGGATGCCTTCTGCACAGAATTTCTCAATGCTATGGAAAAAGAAAAAGGCAGTGAGCATACAAGGCAGCCAGTTCATAAAATGATGGTCTTCCAATGAGCTGCCAGCCTACATGCTACCAGGGTTATCTTAGGTCTCCAAAACATTTTTGCGTACCTAACCTTCACGCAGAAACATTAGATCAGAACTCTGGAAGTACAAAGGAACTTAAAAGTTCAGCGATATTTTCATTTTATAGATGAGAAAGGTGAAGTAGCATGCCCAAATGCACATAATGTCCTAGTGTAGAGTCCAAATGAGAACCCAGGTTTGCAAATTTCTGGTCAAGAGCGCTTGCTGCCACCCCATTTTGTTTCTCTAATGAGCTTCTTCTGAGAGTCAAGGGACTCTCACTGTCTGCTGGTCCCACAAGGTATTACAGCAAAGAGAAGATTCAAAAGGGAGCTCAATCTGACAGTACAAATTGGCAAAAAGTCTCCTGAAACCAACTGGCATAAAAATTGACTTATTTTTTTACTCCAGAGACTCTATCCTCAGGAAATAATCTCCAATATAGAAAAAAAAATATATGTAAAGATGCACTTTTCAGAATTATTTATAATTAATTGCAAACTCAGAGATAGAAATGACTTATGTAAATTTTGAGAAAATCCATTCAATGAGAATATTATTGCATAGTTTTAAAATAATGCATATGATGGCCAAGGGCAACATGGAAAAATATTTCTCCTATAATAATACTGGAAAAAAACCCATAAAATTTTATACTTCTGACTACAAATAGTAGTAAAGAAAATTTATATAGGGGGGAAAAAACATAGAGATGATGTCACGCCAAAATGTCATTGTGTTGCAGTGGCATTAGCGAGTGGCTTTTTCTCCAATTTCCTAATTCTATAATTTGGTAATATTGCTTTAATTCTAGGGGAAAAGGTCATTTCAAAAAAATAAAAGTAACAGTGCAAAGATTATGACATAAAGGAAATGTTTACAATATTAAAAGTAAAATACAAAGAATATATAAAATTATACATATATTAAAACTCTAAAAAAGATCAAAGGAAAAATATTACATAAAAATAACCAAAAAGGGCCGGCCAAGTGGCTCAGTTGGTTAAGAGCTCGCTCAAGAGTTTGAGCTCTGAGCAACAGCGGTTCAAGTCCCAGCCCAAGCTGAGCAGCCGCTGAACTACCAACAGGTGGCAAGATGGCTCAGTTAAAAAAAAAAAACCACAATGTCGTATTAGGATACAAAAATTCTGAGTAATTTCTTTGACTACTGTCCTCTCAACTACCTGTGATGTTATATTCATGTACAACTTATGTCACTGCATACTCTACCGCAAACCTCAAGCCCATTCATAAAATTGCCTTAAGCGAGTTCTAGTATATATACATCCCAGATGATCACAGTGGAGTTTTACATTAGAGGTCTCAGCCCTGAAGAGAAACCCTTATCCTCACCCTCACTCCTGTTCAGGATTCAGTAATTAACACTAAACAAGTATTTATCTTTAGAGAGGACCCGTAGCAGTATCAGTGAGTAAAGAGCTGCAGTCTCAAAATGGATACAAGAAATGAGAGAAATCATGAAACAAGTTCAGAACACTACATTCAAAGAATCCACAGAGTTCTAAGCATGTTAAATGTATTATAACTCACGAGAGCCTCATAAAATCCAATACTATTATTATTTCCATTTTATTAATAAAGATGAAAGATCTGAAATACAGGGAACTATGAATGACACTAGAGCTACTGGAAACAATGCAGAGTGCCTTCCAAAAGGCATACATAACATCTCTCCTCTTCCCAGTAGATCGACTGTAGCCTTTTACTTGGCCTTCAAATGTGTCCATCACTTGGCCCTACTGACCTAGCTGATCACCTCCATTCACCAACATGAATCACGGGCTTCAGTCAGGAGTGTTTCTTCATCACTTCACCACCTCTCCTCCTACCCCCGCAGACACCTGGTGCTCCTTCCCACACTCATTCAATCAAATACCTACTAAGCACAAGTTCTGGAGACACAAAGATAATGAGACAACGCCCCTACCGGAAGGAGCACACTGTCCACAAGGAGACGGGGAGACAAACTGTGACACTACAGTACAGTGAGGGTGCTTGCAGGGGAGGGGCAGGGAGTGGCCCTTGCCTGACTCTTCAACACTGGGCATTGATCACCTGGAGAAAGTGAGTGCCACCACTCTGCTCCTGAGCCTAGGATGCCTACTCTAATTAACATTCCTCTGCAAAGCTTAGCTCCTCCATGGAGGTAACCTGCTCTAATGATACTCCTTCCTTTAAATTCTTCCTGCTCATACTGAGCAGTTCTCACTCTAGGCTGTACATTAGATCACCTGAAGAACTGGCCCCAGACCAATCAGATCAGGATTAGACCAATTACCTCTTCCCTGAACCGGTACTTTTAGAATCGCTCCAAAAGTGATTTAGAGCCAGCCAAGTGGCTCAGTTGGTTAAGAGCTCGCTTGGGAGCACCAGCTCTGAGCAGCAGGGCCGCGGTTCGGATCCCACATTAAGGGCCAATGACGCTGCGCCCTCTACAGCTAAGATGATGAACAACAGCTCGACCTGGAGCTGGGCTGCTGTGAGTCGCCGGTGACGGCGTAGGCTGCAGCAGGGCTGCAGTGGGCTGCCATGAGCTACATGAGTGTCTAGCAGCCAGCGTGAGCGGCCGGCAGCCAGCGAGAGCTGCCCTGAGCCGCCGACCAACGATTGTCTCACCCGGGAAGAGCGCAATGATCATACCAACATGGGCCAGTGAAGCGATGTCCTCCACAACTAGACGGAAGAACAAAACAGCAATTTGTCTACCTGTCTGTTCTTCCCTGAGTCCCCAATGCTGTTCCCCTCCAATTCCCCAATAAAAATCTTAAAAGAAAAAAAAGTGATTTAAATAGCAACAGAGTTGAGAGCCACTGCCTTATACATACCAACCAGCCCTTGAGTATATCTTTGGTGCGACCAATTGTTTCATGTCTACCATCTCCACTATGCTTTCAACAACCTGAAGGCAGCTACCTACCAACTCTGCATTTCCTACTTGGTGGCACAAAGCTGAACACTAAGAACTGGTAGGATAACTGGCATCCCACTGAAAATATACTTTATGTGGAACAAGATACTGAAGTCAGGGTGCTACAAAGATGGTACCCTGAGTCTAAACCCCAAGAATCAGAAAGCATAGGTCAAAGAAGTTTTTTAAAAAATGGATAGGCTAGAAAAAAGTTATATATCAGAGGAAGATAATCTTAAGGAAAAGGATTTTTAACCACCTAAGAATTCATTCATTCCTTCAGCTACTTACTGCACCAGATGCGGTCTTCACCTCTAAGGCTAAAGTGGTAACACAGACACAGCTCCTGAGTCCTAACCTCAGAGAAGATCCCTGATAAGGTTAAGCAGACAACTCCAGTAGAAGAAATACAGGCAGCTATGGGCTCGTGCCAGAGAGGCATGTGGCCTAATCAGGCATTCCATTCCCCTGGGCAGGTTCAACCCTTCTGCTGAGGAATCGGAGTTAGGCTGCCATCACTTTAAAATTCAGTACAGGTGACCAATCACTTTCATTTGATCATTAATCTGAGGCAGAAAGGACATCTACTGCTGACATGAATATTCCACTCTGGGTGACACGTATAACTCTCATTATGTAACAAGGTGATTCTTCTGGTACAAATCTGTTTTATATGAATTTGAGCAGCATTTCCCCTTGATAAGCCATTAATCCAGGCTTATGATTTGGCCCCGATTCCCCTAGAGAGGTCTGATGGAGGCCTCAGACCTTGGGATGTGAAAGATGAGGTTCTAGAATCACTGACTACAGGATTCAGCAACCCTAGAGGTTCGGCCCCACCAATGTACCTGTGGCCCACGGCTGTCATGGCTAAGGCCAGGTAACAGCCAATGGGCATGCCCGCCTTAACAGCCTTCAGGAGAGGATGAAATGTGGGTGACTCTGTCATGTCAGGCACAGTGCTGGAGAAGGGGACAGTTGGGCAGTTCTGCTGCATTCCATAGTCATTTTTGTGCAGTTTTAACCTCAAGATCAAGTTCCAGGCCCACTGGTTAAAGGAGGTCTCAGGTGTCTCTCCGTATCGAACAATACTGGCCAAATATGAAACCTAAAACAATTATTTTAAACCACATTAGTCACATACACATTAAATCAGCAGGCTCACCCATCTCCTTTTGTGATCAACAATGCCCTTGAAAGAGAGAACTTATTATTTACTGGTACTCAGTGTTTGCGACACTAAATTAAAAAGTCTTTTCTCGCTCATAGTGACTACTTCTGCTTGCTTGCTAGTCAATCTGAGTCAGCTCATGCAAAAGAGTCATAATATAAAAGTTGCTACACAACAAATGGTGTGTTGGTAAATAAGTTTAACAACCAGTTGGAGTGCAGGGTGCTCGTTTATAACATTTGCCAATTTTAGTGTGCAAAAAGAACTCCCACCATGGTCAATTTCAACCTACTGATAGGTTAACAACCTGGCCTGCAAAGTTCCTGAAATTTTCCTGGGCCAGTGTAAGCCAGCTCCAGCACACCGCTGTAGCTCAACTCTAATTCCACAATATTAAAATGGTCATAGTAGTATGGAGGCTACTTCTTAAAGAAAACTCTTTATGCAACCAATATCTTAAATTGCCAGAAATATTACTAGGAAACCTAAGGGTAAATACTGTAACTTTATCCACCCAAGCCGTTTATCATACAGACATACGTTCTCAACACATAAGAGAAGGAAATACCTGCTTCATGCTTTCAGAAAGAAGCCCGGCATATGGCTTCTGTGCAAGGTATTTCTGGTACGCTTCGAGAATCATTAAAGCCACTTCAGCATGGACTGCTTGATCCAGATGAAGGGTGCCCTATTAAAGAGAAAAATAACCACAAAGATGCCATCTTGATTTTTATATACATATATCTGAAACAAAAGACTAGGCAGAATAGTAAAAAAGGATCTTGGATACAAAAGCTCAATTTTCCAAAAATCACATCCCCTAACAATGAAGTTATAAAATGACAATAAGAAAAAAAATTGACATCTTAATTTAAAGAACCATTACACTGCACCTAGATAGGTATGGACCTCAGTCACCCCAGACCCAAGTCATATAAGGTTTCCTTGAAGGTAACCCCCTTCCCCACCCTAGAATCTCTTAGACTTTGGGTTATAAGTTTAAGGGCATTGCACAAAACAGGAAGATGTTTAATTATTATTAATTAAACAGAAAGGTACTTAATATTTTAAGGCTACATTCCCTTTTCTTGTTCTACCATCACAGAAAATATTTTAAAAAATGCTCAACAACACAGGCAAAATATTCCTTCAGGAGCCTAAAGTTGTCTGTCAGATTTCCTACCCAGTCTTACTTTGCAGCCTGAAAAAATACTAGGTTGTTGGAAAAGTCATGATGCACTTTTGCAAGGAAAAACATAGAAAAAATACGTCATGACTTTTCCGACAACCCAATACATTCCTTAACCCTCTCACAGAAGATGACTTTTCTAACTCTAACAAAAGAGCAAGGAGACTCTCACAGGGGAGTCTTCATGAAGCTCTCTGGGAGAGAGGGGACGGGTTCTGTTCACAAGCAGAGAATGTGAAGGTGGAGAGCAGCCCCCTGCAGCACTCACCCACCAGCATGTGAGAGAGAGAAGAGCCAGGTGGACCCACGGTCAGTTCCACATGGTCATGGGCACCCTGGGGGAAAAGCACCCTGGCTTCAGAGTCCTCATCTGTACAGTGGGGGTCATGGCCATGCAAACCACACACGATGGCTGGCTGGGAAGACTCAATGACTTGCTCAGAACTAAAGCTGGCACACAGTTGGAGAGAACCGAGTTCTCTCTCATTTTCCCTTTAAAATATTTAAATATTTTGGTCAAGGAGCCAACTACTAAAGCCTAGGGTAAAGAGGCAGGAATGGTTTAACAGTCAAACTCACTTGACCTGACATCTTTGGAGACATATGATAGGTAGCAAGCCCTTAATAACAATAAACTATTAACGAAACTACCACCACTGAGTACTTAAGATGTGCCAAAAACTGTTTATTATGTCTTAACTTGTTGAATACTTACAACAACCCTGTGAAGCAAGCTCATTAATATCAATGCTTACAGATGAGCAACTGAGGCCCAGAGAGTTCAGGAAGCTTGCTCAGAGTCACACAGACAGCAGGTGACAGGGCTGGGATCAGAACCCAGGCAGTCTGGCTCACAGCTCAGGCTATTAACCAATGCACAGTGCTGTGGAAGACAAATCTGGCAACGACATGCAAGACAAAACCCAGGAGGAGGAAGGACCAGAGGCAGGAGAGGCAATTAGGAGGAAGTGCAGTGAACAGCCAGACATAAAACAACAGATCTACAAAGAAATCGTCTATAAAGAAAAAGGGAAGAACTCTCAGTGTGGAACAATTAATCTTCATTTTAGAGGATGCTCACTCTGCAAAGCAGAATTAAAGAGAAGATTCTAAACTCTGACACAGCTACTGGATTGTTGGAAAAGTCATGACGCATTTTGTCTATGTTTTTCAAAGGTCATTTATTTATATAAAGAACAAAGATCAATCAATGATATATTACCCATTTTATTCGATAACCTTTTGCCAACTTTCAGTGAGCTTCATAATTCCTCATTCATAAAAGGACCTGTCTTTATTTGTGAAAAACTGAACAAGGTGCCGATTTACAGTCTCATCTGAATTGAACATTATACCACGCAAGGAGTTTTGAAGACAGCGAAACAAGTGGAAGTCTGATGGTACATACTCACCAGGTGAGTATGGTGGGTGTGGCAACACATCCCATTCAAGCTCCAATAATTTTTGACGGGTGATCAAACTTGTGTGTGGTCTCGCGTTGTCACGATGGAACATAACTCCTTTACAATTAACAAGCTCTGGACATTTCTGGATGGTGGATTCGTTCAAACTATCCAATTGCCGACAGTACACATTCGAATTGATTGTTTGGTTCCTTGGTAAGAGCTCGAAAAACACAACACCTTTAAAATCCCACCACACTGAGAGCATAACCTTCCTCTGATGAATGTCTGCTTTTGATGTCATTTGAGGCAAATCATCACGTCAGGTCCAAGACCGTTTGCACACCACATTGTTGTAAACAATCCACTTCTTATCACCAGTTATCAGTCGCTTCAAAAAAGGATCATTTTCCTCATGTTTAATGAGCATATTGTAGATGTTTATACGTGCCGTCAAATGAACTTCTTTGAGTTCATGCGGAACCCAAATATTAAGTTTGCTTACATATCCCAGCTTCTTCAGGTGGTCGTGAACGCTTGAATGATGGATTTCAATGTTTCTTCAATCTCTCATGTCGTGTAACATGGGTTTCATTCGATCAATGCCTTTATTTTGTCGTCATCAACCTCGGTGGGCCTCCCTGACCGAGGAGTGTCGTTGAGATCAAAATCACCAGCACGGAACTTTGTGAACCATCGTTGGCACTGATGTTCTTATAGAGCCTTGTCCCCATAAACTTGATGCAACTTTTCACAAGCTTGACATGCGTTCTTCCCTTTATGGAAGTAAAACAGTAAAATATGGCAAAAATGCACATTTTGGTCTTCCATCTTCAACTTGTTCTAAAATCTCCAAAACTCAACCAAATTGCTCAATTTTATTTTTAGAATGAAGCTAGAACTGTCAGCTGTCAAATGACATAGGAATAACATAGATGTGAATGACTCTAGTACTTCCAAAAATGAATAGTGCCATCTGTCACAAACATGCGTCATAACTTTCCCGACAACCCAATAAAAGAATTTGCAGACTTTGCAAATGATACTAGAAAATGTTAATGTTTTGAGAAAACATTTCTTTGAAACTGATGGATGTAGAACCACCAGTCTCTAGGGAATGGTTTTCATACATACCTGTTCACCAAATCCCCAGTTCAGTCCTTCTAGAATAACACAGGCCAATTTGTTCTTCACCATTGTCAGGTTATAATTCAATAACCAATCCCGAATCACAGCTATCTCGGAGGCAGAAGGTCGCCAAAGATACAAAGGCAATTCTTTAAACAAGTACAAAGAGACCTTATTAAAAAGAAAATGATAATAATTAAAATCAAAACTTAAGGAAAACCCTATATTACTGCAATACTACATTATTAAACTGTTTGCTCGACTTTTTCTCCAAAAAAAGGTGCAGCTTTAATTTTTAGACAAATGAAATGGACAATCAGATCAAATGAATACTGAAACTAATGATACACCAAAAGCACATTTTGTAATACTTTATAAAGTTCAATCTTTTTTCAACATGTAAATTGGTATACTTCCATTTAGGAAAACTACCATACTAAGATCCAAATTTAACATCATGATAAATCAGGGGTAGGTAATTCATTTTACAAAAAGAGTTAGCACTTTAAAAAATTATTTCTTCTATGGTATTTAAAAAGATATTTCTATTAGCTTCAAAACACTCTAGGGAGGAGGGGCCAGGAGTGGATGGAGATAAAGATGAAACAAAATCAACCAAGATCTGGTCATTGTTGAAACTGGATGTTGGATACACAGCAACTCACTACACTTCTCTACGTTTCTATATATATGAGAGATTCTATAATTAAAAAAATTTAAATCCTGTTTACAAGAATTTTATAGCACCACTTTTTAAATAACATATCCATGTATGCAAATTAAGATAAATCTGGGTTCACTTAATACAGTTTGCTTTAAGGAAGACAGATCAGAAGATTATTTATAATCTCTAGAAAAGTGCCAAGCAGTGGAACTATAATGCAAGTCACAAATGTAATTTTAATTTTTGTAATAGTCACATTTTTTAAAATTTTTTTTATTTTTTATTATTATTATTTTTTTTTAGCTGAGCCATCCTGCCACCTTTTGGCGGCTCAGCAGCAGCTCAGCTTGGGCCAGACTCGAACCACTCTTGCTCAGAGCTCAAACTCTTGAGCAAGCTCTTAACCAACTGAGCCACCCGGCCGGCCCATAGTCACATTTTTTAAAAGTCAAAAACAAACAAGTAAAATTAATTTAATATATTTTAAATTCAATATGTCCAAAATATTATCATTTCAACATGTAATCATTACAAAAATTATTGGTATGCTACATTTTTTGTTCATACTAAGTCTTCAAAACCCAGTGAGTATTTTACACTTACAGTGATTCTCAATTTGGGCTAACTACATTTCAGAGTCTCTACAGTTACATGGATTGGACAACACAGGTTTAAACATACAATCCAGCATTTTTCAGGTTTCTACATGGGACGCAAAAACAAAATTTGAAAGAACAATAGAAAGAATGAATTTTAAAGAGATCTTTCCTTTCATTTGTGTGTGTGTATTTGTATATATACTTAGTTAAGTTTTCATGAGGATTTATTAATAAAAGTCTTGAATATTCTGAATAAAATAGTAAAATAGTTATTTTTTAATTATAAAAAAATCCTACTTCATCTGGTGAGTATCTGACAGAAAGCAAAATAATGGCACTAAATCAATGGATATAGTAATGAGATTTGGACAGAAAAACACCTACCCCAGCTACATAAAATAATGGTATAGCATGTATCTGCCCACCAAGAATGAAAGGAGGCTATCAGGAAAGACCCTACGTACATTAAAAGGCTAACAAGGGAATATTACGAACAACTCTGTGCCAATAAATTCAACTAGTTAGATGAAATGAAATAAAAATCCTTTAAAGATATAAATTACCAAAACTGACTCAGGAAAAATAAAAATCTGAACAGTTCTCTGTTTAAAAATTTCAAAAGACTGTCCACAAAGAAAACTCTAGACCCAGATGTTTTCACTAGTAAACTCTATAAAACATTAAAGGAAGAATGAATAACAATCTTATAAAAACTCTTACAAAAAATAGAAGAGGGAATACTTCCCAACTCATGTAATATAGTAAACATAAACTTAAAATCAACAAAGACGAAAACTAACAAAAACACAAGAAAATAAAATTACAGATTAATATCCTTCATGAATATATATATGTAAAAATACTCAACAAAAAATATTATTATACTGAATCTAGCAATACATAAAAAGAACAATACACCACAATGAAATGGTTTTTATTCCAGGAAACAATGATGGTTCAACATTCAGTCAATGTAATTTACCACATTAATAAAAAAGGAAAAAAATCATAAGATCATCCTAATGGATGCAGGAAAAGCAACTGAATAACCATTCATGAAAAAACTCAGCAAACTGGAAATGGAAACTTTCTCAGCCTAATATAGAGCAACAATGAAAAACCTACAGCTAACATTATACTTAATGGTGAACTTTTGAAGCTTTTCCGCTACGACAGGGAACAAGGCAAGGATGTCCACTCTCACTACATCTATTCAATATTGCAATAAAGGACACAGTCAATGCAATAAGAAAACAAAAGGAAATTAAAGGCCTAACAATTAGAAAAAAGAATCTTAATAAGAACTCTCAACAAAACAGAATTTAATGTAAAAAAAAAGTACCATGTACTGTTCCAAGTGACTAAACGATAGAAGGACTCTTTATAAATATAGGTCCACAGAAAAATACTATATCATTTTAAACATTCCTCTTAAAGTTATTACACATGACTATCTGCCATTAGAAAAACTCACACATTATGGCCTTCTTACAGATGAGGAAAAACTTCATTAAGTGTATGGTCTTATTACATGGTACATCCATACAATGGAATATCATTTGGCCATAAAAAAAGAATGAAGCACATGCTATATACAACATGGATGAACCTGGAAAACATGCTAATGAAAGAAGCCAGTCATAAAAGACCACATATTGCATGCTTCCACCTACATGAAATGTGCAGAGTAGTCCAATCTATAAAGACAGAAAGTAGATTAATGGTTGCTTAGGGCTAGGGGGATGGAAGGACGGAGTGTGATAGCTAAGGGTATGTGGTTTTTTTTTTGAGATGATAAAAATTTTCTAAAATTGATGGTGGTAATGGTTGTACATATCTGTGAATGTACTAAAAATCATTGACTTGTACACTCTAAACAGATAATTGCATGATATATGAATTATAGCTCAATAAAGCTATTACTAAAAACTACATAAAGATTACAAAAGTGATAGTGACAAAAGACAGAAATAAACTATATGTGTCTTGCTCAACTTAAATTACTACTTTTAATTTTGCTTTTGACTGATTTAAAAGTGTCTTGTTTCTTAATCAAAGTTGTTTCTTCCAAGCATAAAATGAGAATTATGAAAGCCAAACAAAATTATGAAATAAAAACTGTTAATAAACTATAGGCTTTATAGTTAATTATTTAAAGTAAAAACCTGGTATTGAGGAAGGTAGAAAGGTCACTTTGAGGAGATTAAAGAATAACAATCATAGCTTTTTATAAGCAGCAGCTAATCCCGAGTAGGCATGGTGAATGGCACAGAGCTTGGGACACATACATGTTCTCTTCATCCTTTTGTGCTCATGACTCAGTCACTCCCAACAACCTTGCTTTTTTTCCCACTGCTCCATTATTCCAGGATTTGAAAGGAAAAAAAGGCAACACAAACAAATAAACAAAATCAGTGCTCTTACCATTCCAACCTGGTCAATGGTGTCTTGAACTCTATCCAAAAGGATAGAAATTATCTCAGGGTGAACAGCGGTGATGGCCCCTAACAGCTCTCGACCGACCTTTGAAAACGTCTCTCTGGTGGACAGGGTGACATAAGAGACCTAAAGCGGGAGGGAGGGGAGAGAGCACTTTCAATACCAATTACCAGTCAAGACTCATTTCCATAATTTACTTATGATATTTTCAAGTAAAGCAGAAAGAATCTCACATTGAGTCTCAGTTCATAGCATGTTCTAAAAGATACCAAAATCTTCAGAGAACAAAGTGTCTACCCTGAGGCTGGAAGGTGGGAGGAGGGGGAATGGAGGGGAAAGGTGACTACTATGTAACAATGACCTCAAGTGCTGGATTCAGAAAATACATCCCAAAGTAGCAATAAAATAATCCCTTCTGTGTTAAAACTTTCCTAATTTGAGGAAATCATTAAAATAATGAAAATCAGAATGCAATTGATGGAAATACATGTTCACTCCTACAAAATAAGATCCCCAACTACAAGAGCATCTAAAGCAGCAGTTCTCAACCTTCCTAATGGCACGACCCCTTAATACAGTTCCTCATGTTGTGGTGACCCCCAACCATAAAATTATTTTCATTGCTACTCTATAACTATAATTTTGCTACTGTTATGAATCGTAACGTAAATATCTTTTTGTTTTCAGATGGTCTTAGGCGACCCCTGTGAAAGGGTCGTTCGACCCCCAAAGGGGTCGCGACCCACAGGTTGAGAACCGCTGATCTAAAATATCAACGTTTACCAACTTCTCTTGAACAATGTCTTCCAAACTACAGGTTACAATCCATTGATGCCAATGTCCAGCATTTTTTAATATAATGAAATAGAACAGAAAAATAACAGTATAGTAAAATAGAATAGAAAATGTGAGTGCATCCAGTAAGATTAAGTATTGCTTCAATTCACGCATGTACTTACACATGTACACATACAGTATCAGAATGTAATATAGAAGGTAATTTTTACTATGAGTACTGGTCAAAACTTTTGAAATATTATTCAAGAGCATAAATATTAAGCAATGGATCTGGAGGCTTTAATCTCATGCATGGTTACAAAGTAGAAGTATAAGAGCAGCCTAACAGAGTATTTGATCCTGGAAAAGAACTCATCCAGTTCTGTCATTCTCAAACTGGAGTATTAGATGGAGGGTAATAAACTCTGAAATCTTCTTCAAACATAATTTTACTTGAGTTTACTTGAATATTTTGGAGAAAACATACTTTATGAAGACAGACAGATAAAATACAGCTTAAATTGAAAATGTGCATGGTTTTTTTAATACACACAAAACTCCAATGAATGTTCTGGTAACCATTTTGGTATGTCCCTAGACACTCATGGGTCCAAAGTTCACTCTCCTCCATTGTTAAGGGGTGGCTCTGGAAAAGGATCTCATCCCAGCCTGTCATTTTATAGATGAGGAAACTGAAGCCCGAAGTGGTAAGGTATCTTTTCTGATGTGAGACGGGCAATTAATAGCAGCTTTAAAACAAACCCAGGCCTTCTAACTCTAGGTTCAGTATTCTTTCTATCATCTCATTTAAACTGGCTAAAAGCCAGGTTTCCATGTTACTGGCAGGGTGGGAGGCTGAGGGCCACGACAAGAGACAATATAAAAACTGAGTGTCAGGCTGTGCCAGATTGTCTATTTCTTACCAAAACCCAGGTATCAAATGTCAAAAGATAGTAGGTGGAAATGGAGTGGGTATGATTCGTATTTTCAATATTCCTTATAGCAAAATGATGTTCCTCTGATTCTCTATTTCACCCATGAGTGCACAGAGTATATGGTAGTCATGTTTGTTTGTTTTTTTAAAGCAATCCCAAAAGAATCAATAGGTGGACAATCCAAAAGAAAATATTTTTTAGCTGACTTCTAAAACTTAATATTCTAACCTCATATATCTCCAGAACAATAATTTTTATGAAGTCTTCATCCACATCGGTTCTTCTGGCCTGAGCCATCTGCGCAAATGTCGTCAGAAGGCAAATCTCTTCAGAGCTATTCATGGAAGAAAGACACTTCGCAAAGTTCACAAAATGTTCTGGGTCTGCAAGAAAATTAAAATGGGGAAAAAATAAATATATATCACTTTACTCTTCCAGAGAGAAAGAAGATATAAAATTAAAATACATTTAGAAATATTTAAAGATACAAAAGCTTTCTTGGAGTTATTCAGTGTTCCTGGGTTTTTCCCATGTATACAGGAGGAGATATACATGTTATTAAACTTTAACTTCTTTCCTGCTGAAATAAAAGACTCTTTGTTCCAGAATGGATTTCTACAAGCATCAGGAAGAAGGCTGGCCCTGATAAAATTCCAACTCTACATATAATGTAGCCTCAGAGGTGACATTTAACATCTCCAAGCCTCAGTTTCCTCATTTGTCTCAAAAGGTGATTTAAGATTAAATGACATGTCACTGTGCTTTGTAAAGCACTACTCTGTCACTAGGTGAGCCATCTTCAAAGGCACACATGAAGCTACTTGGTAATTGTCAGGCAAATGAGTGACAACCCTACTGATGAAAACCAGTTAAGACTGGCAAACTATCAGCACAAACATGGCATTCCAAACAAGAGAGATTTGATTATAATATTTAGGGCAACAAATTAAATTATAACCATGACTGAAATATTGATGAATGGGGCAGTTTATACATTTTGCCTGTTTCTCAGGGGATGCCATGTAATCAATATTACATTTTGTGACTAGAGGACAGTATTGACCAACAGCTTTGCAACACGTTCCAGAAAACTAAATGCTGCAAAGGTAAGTTGTATGGAGGGAGAAAAAAAAGAGTCTGTTTAGAAAATATATTCTCTGATGGAACTTTTCACAGCAAGAAGGCAACAGGCCAACAATTCTTTTCCTGTGTGTACGCACTAGAGAAACCAAAGGCAGCACAGCAAATTTCCTGGATTGCCAGAATTACTCCATGGGGCGCTGACCAAGCCAAGTTTCATTTCCCATCCCCAGACTGGGTTTATAATAAGAATGACTATCCAGAGCATTTCTGGAGTGACAAAAACTGGAATTATCATTCTAATAAATCAGAAACCACAAATCCGTTTTTTCAAATTTCAAAATGATCACACGAGTACACAGCGTAAAAACATCCTCTCTTAGTCCTTCTAAAAGGAAAGAGAAGAAAGCAATGAAGACAAGACACACAGGTAAGGAAAGATGGATGCCGCCTGGCTCGGCAAGGCTGTACCTTGCAGTTGCTTCTTGCACTCGGCGGGCGGGAGGGCAGTGCAGAGCTTCCCCAGGTCCCCGCTCTCCGCCTGGTGCATGAGGTAGAAGAGCTTCCAGAGCATCTGGACCGACAGCGTCCCAAAGGGCATTTCCGACATAAAGAGCCAAATGCCAAGTCTGCGTGATTTAAAAAAGCAGGAATCATTTTATATGTCTTTCAACTTCACCACACTGAGAAAGCAGACAAAACTTCAGTTCTGACAGGAAAAAAAAAATTCTTAAATCCCAGCAAGTTTTCTAACATGCTTCGGTAATAGGCACCTCGAGGATGGATAACGACAACAGGAATACTCACGAAGCACTGGGTCTGTGCCAGGTACTGTTCTAATCACATCATGTATATATCACCTCATTCCATCCTCACGAAAACCAAGGCAAGTACTATTATGGGTATTATCCCCAATTCACACATGAGGCTAAGGCACAGAGAGGGTGGTAGTAAGAGGCAGGGTTGGGTTTTGAACCAAAGATCCTACGAACACCCGGGTGATGAAAGGCTGCATGGATGTGGGCCTAAATGCCTGAGAACGCATACAGGTGCACGTGTAGTGGGTGGGAGGGGAGTGGAAAGCCCTCCAGTGACTCCTCAGTCATCACCGAAGTTCAAACTCCTCGGCTCTGTGTTCAAAGGCCTCCACAATATAGCGCATACCCATATTTCCAACCACAGCCCTCTGTGCATTCAGAAGGAGACCACTCCTGGCCAAGCCTGGACAGAACCCCCTACCTCCAAACCCCCGTCCCTCCACTTGTGAAGCCCTGCCCTGACTTCCTCCTCAGCACCATTACAGGATCCCATCCGCACCTGACTTGGGCATTACCATTCCCTTTATCAGTGGTTCGCACACAGCAATAGGCTGCAGAAAAACCCACAGACCTTGTGGCAAATGCAGATTCCGTAAGCCTGCCTCTAGAGACCCTGGTTTTGTGGGTCACCACTGGGGCCCAAAAGTGTGCATTTTTTAGAGTCACCTCAGGTGACTCAGACTCAAGTGGTCCTCAAATCACACAGTGAGAAGCACCTCAAGTTACTGTGATTTATGGATACATGCTAACCACAACAATTTGAGAGCAGAAACCAGGTTCTATTCACCTTTGTATAAAGCAGTATGTAACCCAGAGTCCTATTTTTAATTATCCAGTACCTAAACCAGTATCTCAAAAACAGTCAACACTCAAATGCTGATTAAATTTTTATGCTATGTGAATTTTATCTCAAAAAAAAAATCTAAATAAAACAAGGAGGCATACAAAAATTGCAGCTATAATGTATTTTAGGCAAAACTACAAATTGGCCAATTAAAAATAAACAAAGCTTATTAAGAGAAAAAGACAAAGAAGTTAAACAGTGCATGCTTAACCCACGTCTGTGAGCCACCAGGCCACTTGTGGTCCAAACCACCAGCTAAACTCCTAAGCAAAAGTTGAAGAAACTTCTCTTAAGTTTGGGTGAGCCAGGCTTCTGTCTTAATAAATAACTATTGTAACATCTCACATGGGACCTGACACTCTTGCATAAAGGTTCCCAAAACATTCAGGGGAAATTGCAGAGGTCTTAAAAATAATGTCACAAGACAGTGTGTATCTCAGGCTATGAAATTCCCTCTATGGCAGACATGCAGTAAACCTGGCTTAGGTTTCTGCTGTCATTTGGTTTTAGTTTGTTTTCTTTTAAGTTAGGGGATAGCTACTGTCAGAAATTTTCATTGGAGTGCCAAATAAATTTAAATGTCATGGCCTTAAATTTCTCATATTATTTCTTCCCTAAAATAAATTTCCTAAATTATATTCAAGAACAATGGTTCTCAATATTTTAAAGTTTAAAACAGTTACATCTTTGTGAATTACAAATTTAATGTTACAGGATGGTCCACAGCTCAGAATATAAAAGCTAGTAAGTAACTATGGTGAGAGCATTGCCTCAGCTAAACAAGCACAAAATCCAGTGACAGGAGATCAAAGCTGGAAGGCTCTTCCCCAGGAGCAGACCAGTTCTGTGAGCAGGTGTCAGGATTCTGAACAGGATTTGGTGTACCTCATAAGACCTCCAAATTTATGAACAATATAGAATGTAACAAGTAATCGAAAGATAAATTTCTAAGCCCAAGTTCTATTTCTCTTAGATCCATGCCTTCTGAGTGCTTAAAAGTGGTTAAGGCTTAGTCAAGGAGTCCTCATCTTTCACTAAGGGAGCGGTTATTCTGTTTTGTCTAAAACCGTAAAAGAACCACCACTGACATATGAACAATAAAGTCAGAAAATCATTTGTACCGTGTACTGCGCATCTATCCTGCCTCACTGCAGGCACCAGAGACAGGTGTGAAACAGAATTCATCCCTGCTCAAGGCACCCCAAGAGTTCAGGGATGGCAAAACTGAGATATCAGAACCCAGTTATTTTAAGATTAAAAAAACCCCAAAAGAATCATTTTAGTCAACACTACAGAGAAGAAAGCCCATGAATTTGCCAAAGATAAGGAATAGATGAAACATACTAAGACATTACTCTAAGAGATCTACTTCAGTCAATCTCTCTCACTAGCAAGAGAGCCATTTCTCAACAATTATCTCAATACTTCTCACCTTTTGGCTTTCAGCACATGTAGGACAGCTCTCAAAAACAGCTCGTCAAATTCAACCTGTAGTTTCTCCATGGAGTAGGGCTCCAGGGCCAAGCCCAAGCCTGGGTTGTGGCTCACATACTGTGCCCAGTGGTCACTCACATAACCAAGGGTCATCCTGAGCAGGAGGACAACAGCACAGCTTCGTTAATGAGCTCAGCTTTGCATTGTATTTGAAGCATTAATTTATTCAACACATAATATTGAACACCTACTATCTTTTAGATTCTGAAGGAAATTCAGTGGAAGGGGAGAACCTTACCCTCATGGAGCTAACTTACATTTAGTGGAGGGCAAACAGACAATAAACAAAATAAAGTAAAATACATCATCTGTCATGTAGCTAGCTATAGGTGACATTGCGAAAAATAAGTAGGAGAGGGGAGTAACGTTTTTCTGGGGTTGGTGGGAGAGGATTGGTTGAGAGCAGGGCAAGTCCTTACTGACAAGGGACGTGTACGTAAAGACCGGAAGAAGTCACAGGGGCATCTAAGCGAAGATCACCCTGGTAGAAGAAACACCAGTGTGAAAGCTCCAAGGTGTGCGTGGTATGTTGCAGAAATAGCAAGGTGGCTCGAGTGCTAGAGCCAAACGAGTGAGGAGATTGGCTGGAGAGAAAATCAGAAAAGTACCAGGAAACCAGACCATAGAGAGCAAATAGGCCACTAACAGACTTGGGCCTTTATCCGAATGCGACTGAGAGCGGAGTGACATGAGCTGACTCACCATTCACAGGGAACTCTGGCTGTTGTGAGCATAAGCTGGGGGCGGGGTGAAGGGGGAACACGGGCAAAAGCAGCAAGGTAAGTAAGCAAGGTTGCTGTGATACTCAGGGAGAAACCCCTAAGAAGGAACTACGGTGGTAGCAGTAAAGGCGGGGAGAAGCTGGGTTCTGGAAATAGCATGTTTCATGGACTCAAAAGGATGCACATCTTTCACACTTCAATCCCTGAAACTGGAATGCATGTTAAAACTGACAGCATGCTATAATTTGGCGGCATTTTTTTCTTTCTTAGTGGCACACAAAAAATATCTTCAGAATTGGCAGTATCTGAGTTTTGATAAAAGATGGTGTTTTGAAGATAGAGATGGCAGAATTAGCTACTAGACAGGATGTGGGGGTAAAAGAGAAAAATCGGGGATGACACCAGGTGTTTTGGCCTGAGTAACCAGAATAAAGTTGCCACGTAGTGAAAATGGGAAGAGTGTGGAAGGAGCGGTTTAGAGGATGGGAAGAGTGCTTTCGCTTTGGGAATATTAAATTTGGATGTTTATGAGTCATCCAAGTGGAGGTGCTAAGTTGGCAGCTAGATATACTAGCTTATGAGTATATCTTAAGTTGGGCTGGAAATATAAATCTGAGAATTATATGAGTAATTATATGATATTTAAAGACATGGGAATGGGTGAGATCTCAAGAAGCAATTTTGGATAAAGAGAGGAGGTCCAGGGACTGAGCCCTGAGGCCTTCCAACATTGAGAATAGCCATAAATAGCCACGGAAGCAGAAAATGAACAGCCAGTCAAGTGGAGGAGAAACCAGGAGACTGTGGTATCCCGGGAACCAAGCAAAGAAAATGTTTTAAGGAGAAAGGAACCAACTATGAGAAAGGCTGCTGTGTGAACTATGTGAGAGACACAAAGCAGGATGCTGACTTAGAGCTGGCCATTGGATTAGCAGTGCGAAGTTCATTAGTAACCTTCATTCTTCAGAGCTGTTTGGGTAGTGTTGGGGGAATGCCTGATTGTGGAGAGAAAACACTGGAACCAATAGATGACCTGAGGAAAGGGACCTTGTTGAAAACTGTCCTACAATTGGAAGGTATGAGAAGAATCTGTGATAAAGAAAAGCAAGCAGATAGAAAACAAAGAAAGAATAATCAAAATTTACTACAATAATCAGCTGTAAATATTTATGTAGAAATAACAGTGAATACTGATCTTAAAACAATAACAGTATGTTTCCTACAGAGTTATTGCAAGAATAAAATGAGAAGGCATAGTCCTGGCACATGGTAAGCAGTTAATCCACACAAACATCAAGCAGGTCAGCCCAAAGACAGATTTTACCTTATTTACCAAGCAGAATCAGAAAATGAGTTATCAGGCCTACTGATAAAATGTAGATAGGCTTTTAGTTCTTAAGAAATTACTCTCCAAGTCACCAACCCTCCCTTCTCCCACTATCTCATTTCCATTACATTCTACTTACAGGCTTTCTCTAGACCTTAAAAGTGACCCCCGGCCTTTCAGGGAATCCCATAATCATTTACCTGGCTTTGTAAAGCTGATGGATACAAATCTAAAATAAATTAATTAAAATCAATTTTGTCTTGGAAACAAAAATAGAAAGAAGTTTTATACCGGGGATGCCAAAAAAATGTATACAGGTAGACACTAGTCTACGTTGCTCAAGCAGCAGTTTGCCGTAATCAGAAGTGTCTGGACACTGATGGTAACCACTTTGAGCACCTCTTGTAATTGCAGAAGTCAAACATGACTTGTATTCATCTTTTGTTATTGGTATATATTGAGTATTACAATTTTAATAGTTTTCCTTTCTTAAAATGTGTATACATTTTTTTTGGTGCCCTCTGTATTAATTTGTGGGGAAGAGAGGTCGGAAGAAATAATAGTGTATTTGTATGCTGTAGGGAATGACCCAGTAAGATAAAAAAACTTGATGATGCAGTAAAGAGGATATAAAATTAATTCACTGAAAAGCAGTACATATTCTCAAAATGTATATTTAATAATAAAAGCATAAACCCATTTTTCACTCAAATAAATGATAATGCTTTCCCAGTTCCAATACAGTGGCCACTGATGAAATCTTTGCAACTTTCTTTAAATGTCATCTAGCAGAAACTGGAATAAGAATGAGAGAACAAACAGGAAAACAATGACACAAAATAGCTATAATTGATTTCCCATAGCTAAGTGATAATCCCCAGGAAAAAAGCTAGGAGGTAGAACAAAAGAGAGAGCAAAGGAAGGGGAAACAGACTGAATTTTCCTTGACTCAGTTCAGTTTGGCCAAGTTCAACCCAGCAGGTGCTTTAAAGATCTTGATTCCAAGACCAATTATCTAGCCAACCAGTTATATTTGAGATAATTAAATATTCTGACTGGAAGCATTTAGAGAATTCCCATCAGGTAGTTGGTGAAAAAAAATCCTTACTTTTATGATAAATAAGACCTGAAGTATACACTAATATGTCCATCATCCCAATTATGCCATATCTGTGTCTGCCCAGGGTGAAAGCAAATAGAAATGATGCACCAACAGCAGTATTACCTGATCATATAGCCAATTCGCTTCACAAACTGCCTATAGCGTGCTCTATTAAAGGTTTCTAACCCCACAGCCAGAAGTTCCACTAATGAGTTAGCAAACGCAAAAATTTTCATCATCTCTTGAGGTCTTGTTGTTTCAGGTAAATAATCACCTGGAAGTTAAAATCAGAGAAAAGGAAAAATTATAATTACTAAGGAAAAACAACGAAGGACACAGTAGAGACACCTCAATGAGGAAACAAAGCCAAGATGGAGAAGAATTAACAATCCCCTCCGGCTCCTATGACAGTGTGAACTGGGAAACCTGAGACGAAGTATAAAATTAAAAGTTTATGCAAGCTGGGCAATGTGCTAGCTAGTCACCCTTTTTGCATTGAAGCACTAAGTAGGAAATTACAAGCACAAGAGAAACAAAGGAAGCCTCATCAAGGTGTGACGCAGTCATCTCCGTAGAGTATGGCCAGGCCAGAGGCCCTGAATCAGGAGCCTACACAACGTGTAAGACCTGATGCTGAGTTCCTGTGTTTGAGCTTGCCACTAACACGTTTTACATATGACAAAAGAAATTAGTCTACCTTTTGCCTTAAACCCAAGAAGATGTTGAAAGAGTTCATGAAATGGAAACTGTGATAAAAGGATAACCAAGTCATCTTCATTAAGGAGAATCCAACTGGTCTCAGGATCTTCATCCTAAAGGAAAAAATGCAAAAGCACGTCAGCTGATTTGATCAGCTCACACCATGGTCTAGAGGTACAGGAGCCAACTTATCACAGGTCTCAAGCATACATATGTGGTATTTTCAGAGTCTTCATGGACTTGAACATTTAAGATCCAGGACAGAGATTTATAATATCAGTTCCAGAGATAGGCTGCAAATCCCCTGAAACTGCGATTACAATTTTACGTGCATCTGGGTCATGTCCGTTCTTCAATGGTTAAAACTGCTCTTACTAAATTTCCACCCCAAAGGTTTAAAAAAAAACAAAAATTCCTGGAGATTTTATTATAAAGGTCAATGCTTTGACAACATCAATTAAAGCACCATGTACTAGAGTCCAAGTTATTTTAGCTACAAGTCTCATGCTCTAAAATCAAGGTCTACTGTTGTACTCAACAGATTTGTCAAGAAGCAATTAGCATTTGCTTCACATGACTGAAGTTCTGTCATCAATCAGTGCTGTTAAAAGCAGAATAAAAACAACAGTGGTCATACACAGGGATTAGACAGGGGGATCTTCCCGGGGTTTTGTTTGCTACAGAGCATTAAAGTCCCCTTAAAAGCCAAGCTGACTTGATATCCTAAGATATCCTACATTCAAAAGAGAATGCAGTAAAAAGATTTAGAGATCCTAAAGAATTTGTCACCTCAATTTCAGAAAGGGACTAAAATAATTCATTCATAATTTCCTAAATCATTCATTTCACCCTCTTATGTGTCCTAAATGGCTAATAAACAAGAGTCTCACAAACTCTTAAGAGCAGTAGCTCTGAAATCTGGCTGTACATTAAAATCACCAGGCAGACTGAAACATTTGGATGTCTGGGTGTGGGCCTGGGCTAGGTTTTTAAGCTGCCATGGGTGGTTCTAATAGACAGTTAGTGTCAAGAAACCACTGATGTGGGTAAGCCAGAGTACCTTCCTCCCCAGAGGCTTTCTGGGTCAACAGCACACCTGATAGTCTCATCTAATCCACAAGTTCCTGAGTTCACTCAACAACATTCAGTGAGTGCTAATCAGGAGCCAGGCACCTCTGCGGAGTCTTTCATCATCTGTCTCTGGGATTAAATGCAGGAAGGCTACAAGAAAAAAAGACTTCTCTCTTAGGAGAGACCACGCTTGGAATTTAAAAAAAAAAAACTTGCTCCACTATAATCTTTAAAAGACAAATTTGCACCAGCTCCTGAGAAGTCCTTTTCAGGATGTCTGTTCAGAATCTAAGAAAGATGTCTGCACAGCCACATCGTTTACCACCACGTCACCACCTCCTGGAAGCCCCAGGAAGACTGAAATGATTATGAAGGCACTCCAACTCCTCAGTGAACACTAATTACACAGACATGATCCCCACAGCTGCCACCGCTGTCTTTCTGCCCATTCTAAACACTTTCAACTCCATTTAAAGAGAAAGAGTTTGAGTAAATCCAGCCCCTGGCCATCCTGGACAAGCACATCAAATCAGGATTCGGACCATAAAAGCACCAGGGCTGGTAACGAGCTGGAGGGAAAATTCCTTACAAATACACTAATATATGTACAGTGGAAAGTATAAGTGTTATCTTGAGAAGTTGGATTTTGATCATCAAATTCTCACCAAAAATAGAAAACCATCTTCTACTTTTCAAATGAGAAGATCTGGAAAATTTGTAAGAGTTAAGGTAGAACCTTGGTAAGCTCCAGCTCTTTATTATACAGACTCAAGTAATCTGTAGGTGAGATCTCAAGCCCAGAAAATTGTGACGACATAAAAGACAATCCTAATATAAAGTTTACATAATATAGATTTACATAGATGTTTCCAGGTTCCAAATTCCCCCCAGCTCAACAGGGAGATATTCTAGAAAAGGGTGACAGCATAGCACACGACTCAGAGCACAGGTTCCAGAGTCTCCACCATTTAATGAAAATATGATTTGGAACAAATTCCTTCACCCCCCCCCCACCTCAGTTTCCTCAGCTGTAAAATGGGGTCATAACAGTACTTGCCTCAAGGGGTTGTTAGGAGAATTAAATGAGATAATATGTGGGAAGTGCTTAGAACAATATTTGGCACATAATAAAAAGAGCTCAGAAATGATTAATCAAAATAATACAAGCAAGACGGGTTACCTCTTCTCCTCCCTCATCTACTAGTGTCCACGACCCAGACGCAGGCCCCGGAGAGGATGGCTTCCATTCACTGGGTTTCATGTGGCACAGGAACTCTGCTCGATTTCTAAAGGACAAGCGAAATCACTCCAATCACAAACATGGAAAGCCCACACACATGCGTTCTGGATCACCTACTCCCCCTGAAGAAGAGTCAGACATCAACCCAATCTTCAAATGGTCTAAATTAGTAAACAAGAAAAGAGAACTAGTTGACTAAAACTCAAGGAGACCAAAGTGTCACTAATTTTAGTGCAGAGACCACGACCACTCTGAATTAGTAATGGTGAGCAATTGCAGAAAAGTAGTTATGCCAGCACCGCTCCTGTACACAGTGGGACCTCAGTACATATGAACTGCTGCAGTGCCTTAACTCTAACCAGGCTTGGAGTGTTGCCAGGTCGGTGCTTTATTGCATGAAAAAGGATAGTCTGCAGGGAGTGCAAAAGCTTGTTGAGGGAAAAAAAGTACATCTAAATGCAAAAAAAATTTTTTAAGTCAAATCATATCTATCTATGCAGGAACACACCCCTGTATCCAGGCGGTAAGAGAGAAGAATCAAGGGAATTCCTGCCAGCCAGCTTTCACAAAGGGCTGGCTAGACCTGATGAGTAGGTATAACAAGAAGTTTCTTCTCTTAGACCACAACTCAGTTCTCAGTCCTCTGTTCCTTCCTCTTTGGTCTGACCCTGAAAATTCATCCATTCCTTCCTTTAACCAGGAACTTTCTTCCATGATTCCCAGCTCTGCAGCTCCAGTGCTGCCTTTTCAACAGGAGGAGCTCCCATCCTAAAGCTCTAAATGTGTCCTCTGGGATCTGTCACTTGTGTGTCCAACTGTAAGCCTCAATGATGCACGTTTTCCTCCTTACAAAACAGCTCCTTCTATCTTTTCTGCCTCTTGGGGCTGCCAATGCCTTCTCGGTTACTCGGACTCAGAATCTATAAAGTTATGTCTGAACCACGCCTCTTCCACATTTTCTTTATTTAGTCAACTACTTAATCCTTTCCTGGGAAGATGACCTTTAGGTTCCCCTCTTTGTCTTTCTCAGTACCGTTACCCCAACTCAGCTTGGAGGCAGACTGAGAGCTAGTGGTGGCAACATAGTTCAAGGTCACCTAGACGCAGACTCCGCCTTCTCCCCCAGGTAAGGATGTGCCCTCTTGATGATGGGTTGGGTTCCAGAGCCAGGAGAGCCAGACGTCTGTAATTGTAAACCAATTAAGCAGAAGCATACTTTGTGCCTCCAGTTGAGCCTAAACTTCCTTAAAAGCAACTTTTACCCTTGTTCAAAAACTCTCAGTTGCTACAAAGGCCAGATCATATAAAATCTAGATCCCTGTGTCTTAATATCAAGGTCTTCTATAATACAATTCAACTAGTTATTCGCCTTTACTACCATTTCCCACACACCCCTTCACTCCAGCCAAGCTGACCTACCTGTCCCCCAGGCAGCCGTCCTTACCTGTAATTGGGCCCACTGCTCACTGTTCACCCCACCTACAGTACCTCTGCGCCTTCTTACTGAAAGCCGTTCCATCCTTCTACACGGAACCCTCTCTGACTACTCCATTCTACTTTCTTTAGTCTCCTCATTGCATCAATCATAGCTTCACAATTTAGCACTTAAATCTCAGTGGTTTTTTCTTTTTTTCACCTGCCACTAAATCTCTTCTTCTCAGGAACAGGTAATCTTTTCTGTCTCCCCACGGCACCTTTTACAATGACATATGTGACAGGAGAAGCAAAACCACTAAAAGTGGGGCCCAAAAAGGTTAATCATTTCTACATAAGCAGTTAATAGGGTCACTTTGGGGCAAAGCGTATCAAACCCAAAGAAAATCTGCAATATTCTGGAATGCTAACACTTCCCTTAGCAACACTTTGGATCTGGGCAATTTAGGACACCAATCGTTCAACAGAAAGAAGCATTTCAATTTCTATTTCAAAAAGCTCTTCCTTGGGCCAGCCGAGTGGCGCGTTTGTTAAGAGCTGGCTTGGGATGCCAGAGGGCCCCACTTCGGATCCCACATATGAGGGCCAGTGACACTGCCCTCTGCAGCTGAGATGCTGAACAGCAGCTCAACCTGGAGCTGGGCTGCCGTGAGTCGCGGTGAAGGCGTAGGCTGCAGCCCCTGTGGCAGTGGGTTGCCATGGGCTACCGTGTGTAGCCAGCAGCCAGCGTGAGCGGCCAGCAGCCACTGTGAGCGGCCGGCCAGAAGCTGGCAACTGCCTCGCCCGGGAAGAGAGCAATGATGGTGCCAGCTTGGGCCAGTGAAGCAACATCCTCCACAACTAGACTGAAGGACAAAAGGACAGCAACTTGTCTGTTCCCCTTCCCCCAATTCCCCAATAAAAATCTTTAAAAAAAAAAGCTCTTCCACACTTACTTGACAGGAGCCATTAGCAGGGCAAGGGACTGCATAAAATGAAAGACCCCTGATGGGTTATTCAACACTTTGATCTGAAATCAGAAAAGGAAAATGCATACTGTAGAAACCAACAACCCAAGTAAGTATCCATAATCTTAGTTCACCAGCATTCTGACAAAGGGAGCTGTTAAGAAAACAAAGATGGGACTGGCACCTAATCCACAAGAGAACACAGTTCACGGGTTATCTGGCAGTACTGATTCAGCTCCACTCAAAGAGCACAGGTAGCTGAGCAGTTCACATCAATTACCTGTAACAATATAGGACACAGCACAATAGTACTATTTTAATCCAAAAATGTAATCTAAACAAAAGGTAATGTGGAGAAGTTGAACTTGGCATATAGTTGGCTTCTCCCCATCTGAGTGGTTGCAATGAATAACAAAACAACCCAAAGGCAAGCAGCAGAGAAGGGAATCTATAAACCATATAATCAACACCTAAATTGATTATATGAGAGTTGATCACACAGACATGAAATCTCTGCCATATTCAAGAACTTTAAGGTGCCAGTCATTTCTATTTTACCTGTACTAACTGTGGTGTCAGGTGGGTTAATTGAAAGAAGTTGTGTTTAGTTACAGAAAAAAGTCCTAACGAGCCTTCCCACACATAAATTTTACAGAATTAAATACTACTGAACCTACCAAGCCAGACTACAGCTGAGTTTTTGCAATTCTATGTTAATTTCAACAATTATGGGTGGCCACAAAGTTTCAGCATAAAAACTCCTACAAATAGATACTGGATATATTTTTAAGAGTCTTATTTTAAATATCAATATTTTCAAATAACCTTTTTTTAAAGTTTTTTTTTAAGTAATTTCTTCAGGAAAAACGTTCAACAAAATCTCCCTCATATATCCCTCAAAATCAGAAGGCTCTTCATCATACCTGGATGAAAGGAACAGCCCATTTACTAACACCAGCCGGGCATCGAAGAATATGGTTTAGAAGGAAGAAGTGATCTCCAGGACAGCCAACTCTTTGTAACACTGAAACCTGAACAACAGTGGACATAACAGTTTCACTATTTAAAAAGAAGAATGTATCTAGAGGTCTAGTGAAATCACTGATCTGATGTTTAAATACACATGATCTTTCAAAAGAGTAATCAAATATAAAATAGACTACTGACTGCTGAGTTTCTACCACCAGAGGTACACAGAGGCCTAGGAATCTGTGAGTAGTCTGATAACAAATATCTTAAGTAGTTTCTAGGCAAACCCAGTTTTCACATCGGGCAAACTACAAATCGCTAACGTTCCTGGCAATACGTGAATAGATAGAATTCAAGTAATCTACTCTCAGTTTGCAATTGTTTCTCAAATCCAAATAAGTATGCTTAGAATGTCACCTCATATTTAAGAACTCCAGTATGAACTTAAGAAAAGCACACAAGGCAGCCGCTTTGAGAAACATAACCAATAAACAAATAACCCATCCCTGTAACATTCCTCTTTCCTACATTTTTCGATATCTTTCTTTTTTGCCTTAAAAAAATTTTTTTAAGTATGATTAAGTGTAACATTAAACATAAGATGATAAAAAGAAGTGATGTGGGAAAATTTTAGATCAGATACCCATATTCTGAATATGCATCTACTTAAATCTAGCATGCTTCCCACATTTCCATTTCTTCCTAAGTTGAAGCAAGAGATCATTCAACATAAAGTTTATCAGACAGAAAAGTCCTTTGTGCTTAATAATGCACTCGGTAAGTGTGATTTATTTCCATGTCATGAACCAAGACAATGTCACTAACTCATTACATGAAACTGTTGAAGAAAAACAATAAGAAATAATTCTTACGTTACCAGGGAAATAAAAGAAAGAAAGACTACCGTGTCTATTTCTGTTCCCTTACCAATTTCTGCAGCCAGAGAAGAATGTCCTCCTGGAACTGAGTGTCTTCGTTAACTCTCCTGGTGAACATGAACAAGACACTGACGCACTCCTTTAGCTGACACAGATCAGAGGGAATGCTTTCTGCCTGTTTAGAAGCTGTAAATTAAAGAGAGAGTTAAATGGGCCTTTTGAGCTTCTTTTGCTCGGCCCGCTCCAAACTCTTTGGAGTGTACTTTCTCTTCTAATAATGACCCTTGAGCCATTCTCTACTGCTCGGGCCCACTTCTGTTTCTTTGAAATGTATTTTTTCTTTTAATAAACTCCTTTTTCTGCAACTTTAAAAAAAAAGAGAGAGAGAGTTAAATGAATCCCACATAAATGGTGTTTGGGGGTAGGGCGGGGATATTTAATAGCTCCACTTTAAAAAAAAAAACAAAAAACACCTCAAAATATTTACTTTAGATGAAAATCCAAGGAGAAAAATTGCATCAAAATATCGGAATTTCTACTAAATATGTAAACCAAAAGAGGATTTAATTTTGTTAAGTATTTCAAAGCAAGGGAAAATTAACTTCATCAAATGTTTTATTTAAAAATCAGCAGCTCTCTGGCCCAGCCCCAGCTCTTTGATTAGTTATTTTACACATGATACAGTAAAGCTTACTTTCTTTTTTTTGAAAGCTTACTTTCTTAAAACCCAAAACGAAATGAAAAATTCAGAACATGATAGATCCTCTGGCGAAAATTAAATACAATAAAAACAGCCCAACAAGGGGCCAGCCCAGTGACTCAGTTGGTTAACAGCTTGCTCAAGGGTTTGAGCTCTGAGCAACAGCGGTTCAAGTCCAGTCTGAGCTGAGCTGCCAACAGGTAGCAGGATGGCTCAGCTTAAAAAAAAAAAAAAAAAAAAAACAGCCCAACAAACTGGACAAGCAAAAATAAAGTACAAGAGACAGAGGATGAAAAGCTTTTCTGATTACCAGTTCTACAATCAAACACTATCTGGACTCGATTTGGTAACAAGCACACAAATTAGGACAGTAAGGGACATTAATGATGAAGAGCGAGCTTTGTTGGCTTCCTAGAGAAGCAGAGAATGACAGCCATGGGGAAGGGAGCTATGGCACTGCTGTCTAGAAAGGCTGTTGAGGCAGATCTCAATCCTATACGAGGGGGGTAAGGTGCAACAGCCAGCACAAAATGGTGCCTTGTAATACCAAGCAGTG